AACCCCTTCAGGACGGAGTCAATAGTACACGTTCTGATCAAAACAAAACGTAAACAAAAACTGAAATTTGCGCTGTATGTCTGTTCAACCGTGATTCACCGGTGTCACATTAAGTGCACCCTCACTTATTATATATCATTTTGTTCAGGAGAAATGGGGCTTTAATGTATCATTAACTATCCATATATGGAACATAATTTATTATGAATAAAATTTAAAAAAATGTGAGAAAATAAGATTTTTTTTTTTTAATTTGTATTTCCGTCTGACATTTTAGCTGTGAATGTCACAATACTGTTAGGTTTTACTGCAAAAAAATGCACATATTTGTAATCAGCTTTGTCTCACAAGTACAACAGTACCCTCCATTAACAGGTTTTATGGTGTTTTGGGAAGTTACAGGGTCAAATATAGAACGCTCCATTTTCAAATTGAAATTTGCCAGATTAGTAATGTTACCTTTGAGATGGTGTGGTAGCCCAGGAATGAGAATTACACCCATAAAGGCACACCATTTGAAAAAGTAGACAACCCAAGGTATTGAAAGTGGGGTATGTTTAGTCTTTTTTAGTAGCCACTTAGTCACAAACACTGGCCAAAGTTAGCGTTCATATTTGTTTTTGTGTGAAAAAAGCAAAAAACTAATATTTGGCCAGTGTAAGAAAGACTGGACAGACCCAACTTGCAATACCTTGGGTTTGTTTACTTTTGCAAATGGTATGCCATCATGGGGGTAATTCTCATTTCTGGGCTACCATACGCTCTCAAAGGCAACATAACCAATCTGGCAAATTTCAATGTCAAAGAAATGAAATGCAAGCCTTATATGTGACTCTCTAACTTTCTAAAACACCATAAAACTTGTACATGGGGGGTACTGTTATTCTCAGGAGACTTCACTAAACACAAATATTAGTGTTTTAAAACAGTAAAACATATTACACAATTATATAGTCCATAAAAGTGCCGTTCGTTTGTTAAAAAATGCAAAAAACTTAAAATATCATTGTTGTAATACAATTTATCATTTTGAAACACTAATATTTGAGTTTAGCGAAGTCTCCCGAGTAAAACAGTACCCCCTATGTACAGGTTTTATGGTGTCTTGGAGAGTTAAAGGGTCAAATATATTATTATTATTATTATCATCATTTATATAGCGCCAACAGATTCCGTAGCGCTTTACAATATAGTGCTTGCAAATTAAATTCTCTGCACTTTCTCCCTGTGTTGTCAGGCATGTCAATCAAATTTTAATTAATCAAATCACATAATTATGTTAAAAGATTACTTAAATATACATAACATTTTAATATATATGCATTTATAGGTATTTAAATTCTATGTGTATACTAATGTAATCTTTTATGTAATTATATATATATATATAATATATATATATATATATATATATATATATATATATATATATATATATATTTTCCGGTTATTTGTATTTTATATATAGATAGATATATATAGAATGTTATTCTAAGTGTATTTTGTTACCAATATATATATATATTAATAACAAAATACAGCTAGAATGAAATTACATATGAATATATAATTTATATTAAATTTTGCTTCAATATTTTATTTATTTATATTTTTATTTATTATTGTAATTATACGTATATATTATATATATATATATATATATATATATATATATATATATATATAATATATACATAGTTACAAAAAGAAAGAAAAGAAACACTGCCTAAAGGATGTAGGTATAAGTATAAAGGTAACCTTTAATAGTGAACGAGATACAAAAGTGGTTAATTTGCACATTCACTCTTGGTACATCTGAGTATTTGCATATAGAGGGACCAAGAGATATTTGTGCAGAATTGTAAGATTTAAAAAGGGACAAACAACACTTCATATAGTGAAGATGTCGTTAAAAGAATATATCAATTATATCTACTGTAACATTTGTCTCATGTTACAGTTAGTATAGAGTATAATGTTACAATGAATCAAGCTCTAACAGATATATATTGTCTGCAGCTGCAGTTTCTACAGAATATTCATATACACAAATTAGGAAACGATTGTAGTTAGGATATATATCCTTTACTTGGGAGAGCAACTACTCTGGTTAGTTATTAATATATCACCCCAGTAATGTTGTGCCATGAAGGAATAGATAGAAATAAAATAGTTACTGTGCCATCAAGGGCACCTACCAGATAGGAGAACTAACTGCAGGTAATAAAGAAAGGAAAAAAGAGAGAAGAATAAATATATATATATGTAAATGTCCTTACAGTTATATTTATATCTGTGCCTTCGAGGGCACCTCTCTGATATACAAACTAGCTAACTAACGTTAAATAGCTGTAGTTACAGTGAATACACTGTGTGATCTGCTACACATAATCTGGTGTCGCTGCGCTGAAAGAGCTTAAAAGAAATTGAGCCACGAAATAGTATGCGGCTAAATCCTACAATCCCTCCCAAAATACACCAAAAGCTAGTATAGATATTAATTGAATAAGGATGTCCAGAGGTAATTGCTACGAGTGCATAGAATGAGATGCTGGGAGAGATCAGAAAAACCCCGACGCGCGTTTTGCCGGTAAGGCGGCTTTTCAAGGGGAACATGATCGTGTCAGATCTGACTTTTAAATAGGGCGCCCAAAAATTTGATTGGAGTCCCGAACGTTGACGTCATCAGTTGTTACTGACGGGAGACGGTGGTTCGAAGGGGCCATATTGCCCGATTCGAAAAAAAGGGGGGGGTGGGGTTTAATGTTGCTATGTTGCAGTATTTACAGTTCAAAGAGAAAAAAATTAAATATGAGATGAGAGGGCATATATAAAGGCATAAAAGATGATGCATTTTATAGGGGCGTGATTATGATACTGGATCACTGCGTAATCATAACATTTATGCTGCCCTTATTTAATTAGCAGGTATAGGAATTACCCGTGTATTATTGACTTTATATGGATATGAGCTTGTTTATGCCCCTTATCAAAACAGAAGGGCTGTATATATGTACAAATTGTTTACTGATGACGATGGAATCGTATTGCATTAAATATATAAGTAACCCTTAAATATTGTATGATTCATCTTTCTGTTGCCCAGTGGCTCCACCTATAGGCGGATGGACACATGTCTGCATGCAGGGGAATTTAATATAATCAATAAGTAAATGATGTCACGATACAAAAAAGTGCGATGGAAATTGGTCCATGTATAATGCACAAAGTGTGGAAGATGTATTGCCTTATTTTATACAACTGCAACATAGTAAACCATATATATGTATGTATAGAGTATTATTATGCAGATCTACACTGGGTTCACCATATATACGTTCAACGTGGTAAGTATGTCAATTTGAACCCAGATTTATAGCTGAAGAATAATATATCTAAATAGATATAAAGTAGGGGACATATAATTATTTAGAGATACAGCAGAGGGCGTTCTTAAAACTTACTAACTCTGCAGTGTCTTATTATCAAAAAAATGTAAGTTACTTTAATTCTAAGAAAGTCGTAAAAAGATTTAGATTAATATATTGGAAGTAATAACATGTACAAATAGTTGTACGTGATCAAGAAGTGCCAACAAATGAAAGACATTGGATAACTGTTTTGGAACTAAACTAGAGGTACATATAGTTAGTGTATGAAGGGTGTATAATTGAATTCCTCGTTGAGCCACTGTGGAGTGAGGGTCCTAAAGGAGTATATCCACTTAGATTCCTTTTGAAGTAGCTGCTGGTTGAAGTTCCCTTTTCTAGGGTTAAAGGTCAATTTCTCAATAGCCTGAAACCTTAGGTTATCAATATTGCCATGGTGAAAGTTCATGACATGTCTTGCCACAGATGTAGGTGTGATGGTATTTTTTATGGAGTTTATGTGCTGGAGAATCCTTCGACGGAAGGGTTGGATGGTTTTGCCAATATATTGAATACCACATCTGCACGTGATCAAATATATTATCCGAGTGGTACTACAATTGACCAACGCATTGGTTTTAATGGTAATTTTTGATTGTGTAGATATGCTCTCTTTAGAACTCTGGTGGGATACCCAAGGGCTTTGAAACGAAGTTTCAAAGACTGACATTCACGGTAATATGTTGAATCCTCAGAGCAATTCTTCCTTGCTCTCAGATACTGTCCGTATGGGATAGAGGCTTTCAACCTGTATGGGTGATGGCTCTCCCAATGAAGGAGGCTATTCGTTGAGGTCAATTTCCTAAAGAGTTCAGTTTGTATAGTTCCATCCTTCATTAGGAGAATCTTTAGGTCAAGGAAGATCAATTCTTTCTCATCAATGTCATGAGTAAGTGTTAGGTTAATTGTATTGTCGTTCAAAACTTTGACAAACTCTTTGAAGATTTGTATCGAACCCGTCCAGAGTATGAGCATATCATCAATATATCTGTACCACTTTAAGATGTATCTGTGGTACAGACTATATCGAGGATCCTTCCATACTGTGTCCTCCCACCATCCCAAAAAAAGATTAGCATAAGTGGGGGCACACATCGTGCCCATAGCTGTCCCGGTCTCTTGTAGATAGTATTTGCCATTGAATATTAAATAATTATGGGTCAGAATGAATTCCAACAGAGACAACACAAAAGAGATCTGTAGTTCCTCATATGATGTTGATTCAAGAAAGGAGCGACATGCTTGTATACCTATTGCATGTGGGATGTTACTGTATAATGATACAACATCAAGGCTCACTAGTAAGGTATACAGTGGTACTTGAAGCCCTTCTAGAATCAATAGTGTAGACTTAGTGTCCTGTATGTAGGATGGCAAGTTCATCACAAAGGGATGTAGAATTTTGTTGACAAATTTACTGGCTCTTTCGGTCAGACAGTTGTTCCCTGAGACAATTGGTCTCCCAGGAGGTATTCTAATGTTCTTATGCCCTTTTGGTAAGCAATACAGAGTCGCCACAGTTGGATGTTTATGTGGTAGTAGATATTTGTACTCCTCTGTGTTGATAATTTTCTAGTCTAGAGCTTTAGAAAGTAAAGCTTCAAATTCTCTAATGTAACTCGCAGTGGGATCAGAGGGGAGAACACTGTAATTGGATTCGTCACTGATATGTGCCATGCACATATCAATGTACATGTCACGATTTAGTAAGACGATGTTGCCACCTTTGTCGGCTGGTTTTATGATGACATTGTCTAATGTTTTTAATTCCTTAAGCGCTTTCTGTTCCATAATGGTCAAATTGTTGTCTACTGGACGTTCAAGATGCATCTTTGCCAGGTCGCTTGTGGTCATTTCAACAAAAAGGTCAACATGTGGGGTATCCTTCAGGTTAGGGGTAAACCAACTTTGGGGCTTTAGTTTAGTCAGGGATTTAGAGGGATTCTGTTCCTCAAGTAAATCTGTCAGTATTTTAGAAAACTCAAAGTCCTCCAGACTTAATCCCAAATCATTTGCCATCGTCAAATCCTTTTAGAGTGCATTAAATTTAATGCTAATTTCCTACCGAAGAGGTTTATATCCTTTGACCACTCAAATTTATTGTAACCAGGAGTGGGTACATACGTGAGACCTTTACTTAAAAGAGATATGTGGCGTGATTGTAGTGAAAAATCGGAGAGATTAATGATTCTGTTTGATGTTAGAATCTCTGACCCCGTCCCTGTCGTTTGTAGGCCCAGCGATCCCTGTCCCTCAATCGCCCCCTCTGTTCTCGAGGGAGGTCCTGTCCTAAAAAAGTCTTAGAACCAGTTAAGTTTGTACTGTCAGAAGTGATAGGGGCATCTAAAAATGCAACTGTTTTATCAGTGTTCTTAAGTATACCCCTAGTAGGTGAGTGACTTGGGGCTGGGTCGTTGTTGCGCGTATTCTTACTGTACGATCTTTGTCTAGATCTAGAGGAACCTGCATCGGAATCAGACCATTCCGTGTCTGCCGATGTGGAACCTCTCTGACTGGTGGTATATTTACGGAATTTACGTTTTTTACGAAAGATATCCCCCTCTTTGAAGTCATTAAAATCTCTTTGGAACTTGGTGTGTTTTTTTATTTTTAGATTCTGTCTAAAATGTTCGATATTTTTTTGTAATTTAGTTTCCATAGGTAGGAAGAGGTTATCTGTTTTGAACTTTTTTATTTTTACAATCTCATTTTGTAATTTAGTATTAGTTTCCTCTAGATGTATAGTTTCTAGTTTAACTAGAAAGGTCATAAGTCTAGCAGAGCAGTCCAGCAAGATGGTATTCCATTCGTTTTGTTGTTCCTCCGTTTGAATTTTGTCTGGTAAAAGTATGTCAGGTCGGAGACCTCTAGGAACTAATTTCTGTTCGATATATTGATTTAAACTTGTTAGTTCTCAGAAGCTCCTGATATGTTGTTGATATAATTTCTGTATTTCAAAAAATGCATCATTAATATCAGTGTTGCTAGAATTATTTGGCAAGGGATTTATTGAGAAAACATTTTGAATGTCATCTAGATTAACAGCAGGATCTGACAGTTTATCCAAAAGGTCAGTCATTTAGATTGGCACTTCAGAAGTGGCTTTGATAAAGATAGGTATTGAAACCTGTTTTTTAAGAGTTTTAACAGAGTACAAGCCTAGTGTATAGATAATGTGGAGGCAGTGAAGGGGTTAACCCTAGACAAAATGTAGTTACAAAAAGAAAGAAAAGAAACACTGCCTAAAGGATGTAGGTATAAGTATAAAGGTAACCTTTACTAGTGAACGAGATACAAAAGTGGTTAATTTGCACATTCACTCTCGGTACATCTGAGTATTTGCATTTAGAGGGACCAAGAGATATTTGTGCAGAATTATAAGATTTAAAAAGGGACAAACAACACTTCATATAGTGAAGATGTCGTTAAAAGAATATATCAATTATATCTACTGTAACATTTGTCTCATGTTACAGTTAGTATAGAGTATAATGTTACAATGAATCAAGCTCTAACAGATATATATTGTCTGCAGCTGCAGTTTCTACAGAATATTCATATATACAAATTTAGGAAACGATTGTAGTTAGGATATATATCCTTTACTTGGGAGAGCAACTACTCTGGTTAGTTATTAATATATCACCCCAGTAATGTTGTGCCATGAAGGAATAGATAGAAAAAAATAGTTACTGTGCCTTCAAGGGCACCTACCAGATAGGAGAACTAACTGCAGGTAATAAAGAAAGGAAAAAAGAGAGAAGAATAAATATATATATATGTAAATGTCCTTACAGTTATAGTTATATCTGTGCCTTCGAGGGCACCTCTCTGATATACAAACTAGCTAACTAACGTTAAATAGCTGTAGTTACAGTGAATACACTGTGTGATCTGCTACACATAATCTGGTGTCGCTGCGCTGAAAGAGCTTAAACCCCCCCCCCTTTTTTGAATCGGGCAATATGGCCCCTTCGAACCACCGTCTCCCGTCAGTAACAACTGATGACGTCAACGTTCGGGACTCCAATCAAATTTTTGGGCGCCCTATTTAAAAGTCAGATCTGACACGATCATGTTCCCCTTGAAAAGCCACCTTACCGGCGAAACGCGCGTTGGGGTTTTTCTGATCTCTCCCAGCATCTCATTCTATGCACTCGTAGCAATTACCTCTGGACATCCTTATTCAATTAATATCTATACTAGCTTTTGGTGTATTTTGGGAGGGATTGTAGGATTAAGCCGCATACTATTTCGTGGCTCAATTTCTTTTAAGCTCTTTCAGCGCAGCGACACCAGATTATGTGTAGCAGATCACACAGTGTATTCACTGTAACTACAGCTATTTAACATTAGTTAGCTAGTTTGTATATCAGAGAGGTGCCCTCGAAGGCACAGATATAAATATAACTGTAAGGACATTTACATATGTATTAAGGCAATTTGCCTGCATTTGTGGGAGGTGCTGGTTTTCCACCCCTAGCCTACTTAAGGCACTCCCCTTGCCTGGCTCCTTACCGTTCGAGGTCAGCGTTGAATGAGGATCCACTTCCGGGTTCTCTCAGACGCCATCTTGGTTTCAGTATCCAGGAGGTTTCACCACGTTAAGCTGTGTCCAGGAATCCTGTTCAGGCCTTTCCGCCCGTCCAGCTTCTTCTGACTCCGTTCTCCGTTGTAGATCGCGTCCCAGGGACTCCTAAACCGTAAGTCAGACCTTCCTGTCACGCCAGGACTGGTTCCCACGGCGTACGGTACAGCACGGGTCCTCGCTTTACGGCTTTTTCCCTGGTTATGACACGAATGTTTTCAAGCCATTCGCGGGCTTTTCATTTCGTACGGTCATTCGGCTGAACATGTTTTCAATCGTTCAATAGTCATTTCGCATATCCTATTCATGTTATTTAAACGAATGTTCATTCGGTTGTTTTGCCGTTCGGCAAATGTTACATACGCTCACACACACTTTGGTTCGCATAAATCATACGGTTAAACTATTCTAACTTCTGTGTTCCCCTCACATTTGCTTTCGGCTGTTCTGTGTGTTCACGTTTTAATCCTTTCATGAATTATATTCACCATTTCATGTGTATATAACATTCGGTTAAGTATTGCTTGCTTAAATAGATTGTTGATTACTTTTAACAATTGTCAGTATTGTATTACGTCCACAAACCAAGTCCACTTCTGTGTATACCACTTGACTCCCACGCTTTCAGGGGTCTGCATTACTTATCCATTTATACGTATGGACTCAGCCATGTCACAAGCCTCATTTCTGGGTTATCAATACAATACATACAAGGATAGGTTCATTTAAGCAATAATTCTCGGGTTGATACGTCTTTGCTATACATACATATCATATAGATCTACATCACTTTACATCATGCTAAATCATTTTGGGGTATCCCTGCCTTTGGTCTTTCTGCTACATATCATACACAACGATGTGTTAATTAGGCCATGACCTCATCCATGTCCCTTTCTATAAAACCAGTTACATTTCGGTACAGGTCATTGAACTCCCACGCCAGGAGTTTTATAACTATCCATTTCATTTCAATTTACTCAGCCTACATTACAGGCCTCATTTCTCTGTCATGACGATAACACACAAGGCATAAGTCCTTTTGCATGCATACTCGGGTTGGATCACACGTCCTGATCCAACCAATCATACGTCCCCTACACAGTCATAATACATATGTATATAACCTACGTTTCATGTTTTCCTTTACACACCATTATCACGTAACACATAGGTTGTTTGTACATAGGCCACGGCCTCCCTCAGATGTCTTTTTCAAGCATGCAAACATTTCTGAGCCACTCGTAGCTATTCCCATGGTATCAACATAATTTTATACATTGCTGCTACAGACTATAAGTCTGGTTCTTGTTATACCCCACACTCATCGTACTACTCTCTTTTACCCATTTTAGGCTGTCGAGCTTATATAGTTGCTCCACACGGTTTATTCCTGTGATTTATCATACTACCAGGTACGTACACCTGCTCATATGGTATTCTACCATACATTTCATTTCATCCCCCTAGTTTAGAGTACTGGCAATAGGGTCACAGGATTCCCAATAGGTATTTACCCCATCTTGGCTGTCGCCATTAGTTAGTGGTCCCGCGAGGCCAACACCCCGCCTCAAACGTTTCGGAGGCAAACACCCATCGGGCCACACGTTAGCTAGCCGCCTCGCATGTTGCAAAGAGAGGGCCTCACCTGTCACTCCCTTCCCCTGTTTTCTGTCGTACAGTCACCGAGAGGCCTAAAACTCCTGCCACTACGTCAAGTGGCCTCAATAACCCCTCGCGCCAACGCATAGATAGAGCCTCTCAAGCCGCTTGGCAACTAGTAGGGCCTCACCTGTCACCAAACAAGCATAATACTTTCGCCATCCGGCCTAGCTAGCCTGCCAGTACAATTTGGTGGTTCTATATACTAATTATTGTTTTATTTATAGTATGTCTCAGGAAGGGGTAGAGGATTTCTCCCTGCCTAGCACCCCGGCTAGAGCTGTCACTCCCACACAAGGAGGAGAGCTAGCTAGTCCAGCATCAATTAGATCCTGGACAATCCCGCGCATAACCACGGAATTAAGGAGACGACAAATCCCCTACCCCGCTACAGCAAGGAAGGCAGAACTTTTCAAACTGCTACGCACATCAACCAATAACATGGAAGCCGGGGAAGGATCTAGCCAGTCCAACCCAGGGGACATACATGCCATGTTATCCTCACTCATGGCATCCATGGGCAAGGTCAACTCCAGGCTGGAGAAACTTGAGTCGGTCACCACGGCCCTCACTCTAGCAGGGCCAACCGCGGCTGCAGTACAAACACCAGCCTTGCCATTAGTCGCTCCAGCCAGCCCCCTGGATGACCAGGAAGTTAGCCCGGCCCACATGATACCTGAGCATATCAAAAGGGATATCCTGGAAGGTAAAGACGTCAACCTGGCTTCCCTTTTGATTGCCTCCCAGGACATTGTGGAACATAAAACGT